GCCCCATAGGATTTCCAAGGAGCAGCTGGTGGATTCGAACTGCTGACCTTTTGGTTAGCAGCCAAGCTCTTAACCACTGCACCACCAGGGCTCCTGGAAACCCTCTGGGGCAGCTCTACTTTGTCCTGTAGGGTCGCTATGAGTCGGAATTGGCTTGACAGCAATGGGGTTTGGTAAGAGCTATATTACCTAAATACAGTGCATGGACTTCACCTGGATCCTAATTTGAAGAAACCAATTGTGAAAAGATACTTACGAGATTTGTGACACAATTGGGGAAATTTGAAAGTTAATTGGATATTAGATGATATTAAGAAACTATTGTTAACCTTTTTAGGCTTAATCAAATAAAAAAATTTAATAAGTGTGGTAGGCAATAAAACACAATTTGTCATATGTTGATGATTGTGGAAACAAGATTTGTCATACGTTGATAAATGCTGAAGTTGGGTAATAGATACTATCTTCTCTATCTGTGTATGTTTGAAAATTTCCATAGCAAAAAGTCAATATGAAAATGTATAAATGGAGAAACTAATTTGCACTGTAAACTTTCACCTAAAGCACAATAAAATTAAAAAAAGAAAAATACATAAATAAAATTTTTTTAAAACTAGCTGTTCCCCTTAAATAAGCTAAGGGCCTGCCCATATAAGTAGTCTATTGTTGGGTGCCATCAAATCAATTCTGACTCATAGTGATCCCATGTGACAGAGTAAAACTACCCCATAGGGACCCCACGTGACAGAGTAGAACTGCTTCATAGGAGTTTCTTGGCATAAGGTTTCTTGGCAAATTTCCAGGTCTTTCTCCCAAGGAATGCTAAGTAGGTTAGAACCACCAGCCTTTCAGTTAGCAGCCAACAGCTTAACCATTGAGGAACTAGAGCTCCATATAACTAGTCTAAACCCGTTGCCGTCAAGTCAATTCTAACTGATAGCGACCCTATAGGAGAGAGTAGAACTGCCCTATAGGGTTTCCAATGAGCGGCTGGTGGATTTGAACTGCTGACCTTTTGGTTAGCAGCTGTAGCTCTTAACCACTGCACCACCAGGGCTCCATAACTAGTCTAGCTACCTTCTTTTGCTAGTCTTAGAGCCCCTTAAAGATACAGCACAACTATACACATTGAGCCTCTCTCATCTTGCTCAAAATTTGAGCAGGTTTCCTACTAGAGTTACATCTAGTCTGTACTGATGTCTAGATAGAGCCTTTTATCCATCAAACCACCAGAATTTTCAGTGTCAAGTAGAATTTATTTCAACTCTGAATAATTGAGTGCCACCATAGGTTTGTAGGGCTTGTAAACCTGACCAGGAAATCAGATAGATGAAATCACCACAAATCATCAGGAGTATTTAAGAAACCAGGAAATAAGTCAGAAGCCTCGAGTTGCACTTCTGTGCGTACCATCGTGTCCAATTCCTGTACAAAAATGAAAAGTGCAAAGCAATTGCAGGCACCTTTTCAGTCCCAAGCACTAAAGGAATTTTTTTTTAAGATTAATAATATTACATTTTATTGATGACTTCTCACATACCAAAACCGTAATAACTCTTTAAGTATATTTCTACTTCTGACAATGTTTTTAAAGTACTTTAGATGAAGGTTAACAGAGCAAATTAGTTTCTCATTAAACAACACACATTGTTTTGTGACATTAGTTGCCAGCCCCACGACATGTCAGCACTCTCCCCTTCTCGACCTTGGGTTCCTCGTTACCAGCTTTCCTGTCCCTTTCTGCCTTCTTGTCCTTGCCCATAGGCTGGTGTGCCCGTTTAGTCTTGTTTTGTCTTATGGGCCTGTCTAATCTTTGGCTGAAGGGCGAACCTCAAGAGGGACTTCAGTACTGAGTTAAAACGTACCATACTCCAAGGGGCCATACTCTCAGACTTTCTTCAGTCTCTGTCAGACCGGTAAATCTTGTCTTTCTTTGTGAGTTAGATTTTTGTTCTACATTTTTCTCCAGCTCTGCCCGGGAACCTCTGTTGTGATCCCTGTCAGAGTAGTCAGTGGTGGTAGCTGGGCACCATCTAGTTATGCTGCACTCAGTCTGGTGGCGGCCGTGGCAGCTGTGGTTCATTAGTCCTTTGGGCTAATCTTTCCCTTGTGTCTTTGGTTTTTTTCATTGTCTTTTGCTCCAGATAGAGTGGGACCAGTGGAGTATCTTAGGTGGCCGCTCACAAGCTTTTAAGACCCTGGACGCTACTCACCAAAGTAGGATGTAGAACATTTTCTTTATAAACTGTGTTATGCCAGTGAGCCAGATGTCCCCCGAGACCAAGCACTAAGGGAATTTATGTTCCCTAATGAGAAGCACAGAAAGCCCTGAAACAAGTTCTTCTCTGTTATAGGACTGAGTTTACTCTATCAGTAGTTCTCTTTTTTCCAGGATGATGCCAGCAAGCAAACCACCTGTGTAAAGATGGAGGTCTCTCACGGAGGGGACTTTGCAGCCTTCCTCCTACAAGGCAAGACTGACCAAAGGCTGTTTAGATTTGCCATCTCTTCCAGATGATTACTTTTTTAAGGAAATATTTAGCCAGAAGCCCATGCCATGGGAGAACAACCTTTTCCCAGGTTGGCAGGCATTTGGGTTAGAAGCTAAGCATGTTTCCATGCCAGGATAAATTCCCACAATTGCTGCACAGTTTGTCATCCCCTCAAATAAAGGTCAGGGAGAATTCTCTCAGGGTGGCTTGCCCAATTCTAACCCTTTCTTAGCACTAACCTTCTCATTTACTGATTCTGTGTATGCCACCTTTCTCCCCAGACAGGCATAACTGTAAGACAAAATTGTTGGTGAAATTTACCACTTGGAAGATAGATAACATGGGGACTGGGCAAAGCAGACAGTTTGGTTAAGAACTGGGTTTTATCAGTGCTGCGAGTGTGGGAAGCAGCGTTTTCCCTGAGATGGTGGAGGCTCGAGGGGAGGAGCTCTCCCATGGGAAGATTATTTGGGGGGGTGATGATTTGCAATAACGATTGCAGAACTATATCCCCTTCAATTTATCAAGGTTGCCGTTCGGAGGGTGCCTGGTACAGAGGTGGCTGGTCTCTGTGCCAGCAATTCTGAGAAGACAGACTGTGTCTCAGAGGAAACTTGCGCCTGCTTGCAGTTGCTCAGTGGTTCCTTGGTTTCCCAATGCAGGATCCGGAGATGTTTGGCTGGATGTGTATAAATTGCCCAAGGAGTCTTGGCTCAAGGAAGTGGAGCACCCCCTCAACACCGTAAATCTAAAGAAAAAAACCAAACCGCCGCAACTGGTAGGAAATCTCTCTGTTTTCGACTGATTATCTTTCTCCCTACCCTCAAACAATATCTAGCCTAAATCTTCGTTGGAATTTCAAGATGAATGAGGCTTTCTGGAGGCTGTAAGAGAGAAGGACAACAGGAACACTGGCCCATGTCTCCCAAATCGACTTGCTGTGGTTCAAATGAGATACTAAAAAGTAGAGCTGTCTTCGTTAGTGGGAACCTCAGTGTCTCCCTTGTCTGGGAATTGCCCCTCCACTGAGTCCACTCGGGTCTTTTGTCCTGATTCCTGCCTCATAGCTAGATTTTTTTCCCCTGCTGTGTTGAAATAATTCTTCCATGCCTCACATTCCACTAAATTTTCCAGACTATGGCATAGAGGGGTTGCTCTTAATATCAGGAATAGTGAATTCTTTTTATTATTCTTAGAAGGCAGAAACTCTACCATTTCAGTTTAATTATATATGAAGCCTGGGCCTTGTGCCATGTCTTTAAGATATAGTTCCTCAGTAAATATTTTGATCAACTTAATTTGCTCATTTATCCAATGTGCTCTTGTTAATTTTCTTTTTTTAAACCATCACCAACTAGTATTAGGAGCCCTGGTGGCGCAGTGGTTAAGTGATACGGCTGCTAACCAAAAGGTCAGCAGTTCAAATCCACCAGCTGCTCCTTGGAAACCCTATGGGTCAGTTCTGCTGTGTCCTTTAGGGTCACTGTGGGTCAGAATTGACTCAACGGCAGTGGGTTATGGGAACTAATATTAATTGAACACCACTTTAAAACACATTCTATTAGGTGCTAAAAAAAATTAGTGAAATTATTGATATAGTAGACTGAGACACTGACTACTGAGCTCATTGAGTAGCTTTGAATAAAGCCTGTTCTCCCAATGATTTCATTTATAGTGGAGTGTAGTCCTGCATCTTGGGAGCTTTACCAGCCCAGAGATCTTCCTCCTGGAAACTCTCAGAGAATTTATTTTTTGTACCTCTTTTTTGATGCTTCTCATATTTCTACTTCCTTGGCTTTTAGTTCTTTTTGTGCACGAGAATCCTTTTTTTCTTAACTGGTTGTTACATTTCTGGATTGCTAAGACCATGCCTTCTGCTTTTTTAATCAGCCAACTGCATAGTATCATACTCAGTGCCCAACAGACATTTGTTTTTTGATGGACTGATTTATTATCCAAGTGGGAATAGCACCTTAGGATGGAGGTCGTTTCTCGCCATAATTCACTCAGTTTTCATACACTAAGAAGCAACCAACTAATGCCAGTTACGGTGGTAATTCTTTTAGTATAAATTACATGTAGAGTTACTTAAATATAATTGTCAACATCACATATATTTTGCCAATCTGAAATATTCACTTCAGCTTAGGTTTTTGTAATGGCCTCCTAACTGGTCTCCTCACCTCCATTCATTCATATTTTCTCTTATGGTCATTTAACTACTTCTTGTTTCTCCCAACTACATTTAAACTCCTAGAGAATAGGGTTCATGTATTAAAATCCTCTAGGCCAGAGGATCAACCATTTGTCCTCAATGTCTACTGAATGAATTCACTTTCTCACAAGAGTAATTGAGGGAGGAAAGAGCATCTCAGAAGATTAAAGGATGAGGGGGACAAACATAGAGAAAACCTATTGTGAATTAATTTCTCATTTTTCTCTTCAGAACAGTACTGATCACATAGCTGCAGATCATTTAGAAATGGTAAGAAACTTTAAAGAAAATTGCCAGAAAGATTTAAGTTGCATTTTAGAGATGTTTATTTTGACTTGAAATTTACTGTAAGTATCAAATATACTGGTAAAATGCTCCACTAGGGCACTATTTTCAGATTCTCTGAGACATATCTTATACCTCATGTCCACTGCAGATGGTCCCCTATCCTTGAGGATACTTGACCCAAGTCACTTATCCAGAGGTGGGTGTTTACAAGAAGCTAAAGAATGATTTGCACTTGACTGCTAACCTAAAGGTTGGTGTTTCAAACCTACCCAGCAGTACTGCAGAAGTAAAGGCCTGGCGATTTCCTTCCGTTAAGGTTAGAGCCAAGAGAACCCTATGGAGCAGTTCTCCTCTATAACACACGGGCAGCCATGAGTCAGAGTCGACACAATGGAACTAACAACAACAAACCAAAAAAAACAAACCCATTCCCGTCAAGTCGATTCCAACTCATAGCAACCCTATAGGACGGAGTAGAACTGCCCCATAAAGTTTCCAAGGAGCACCTGGTGGATTCGAACTGCTGACCTTTGGCTGGCAGCCATAGCTCTTAACCACTACACCACCAGGGTTTCCAACAACCACAAGAAAGCTTAAATTTCAGGGCCCCTCACTTGTATGGCCTCTTCTAAGGCCCTGGGAGGGTCCCTGGCAGTGGGTTCACATGGTCATGTATTTTTGTAAAGTTGGCAAAAAGTAAGATGCTTTAACCACAATCACTTAAGCTCGCTGTCTCTTTTCGCTCTAACTTCCTCTCTTTTGGGTGGTATTGGAGTAGCCACAGACTTTTTGTGTTTATAATTTTGCGTTCTTTTTCTTAAAGAAGGCCTCCAAATTGTGTGTACTTCAGGTCCTGTGAAACAGATTTGCCAAAATAACAGCCCAGTCCACCATGCCAAGTGACTTGGAGGGTTTCTTCTTTGTATCGGGGATACCTTAGGGAATGGAGCTGCTTCCCAGCTCTCCACTGGAGGCAGGGAGCACACCAGGCTTTCCAGAGGCATAGCTCTTGGGGGGTCTCAGGACAGGGGCATATCAGTAGAGTAGTGGTGAACTTTCAAAATGGAAATCTTTCTCTAGAGCCCTTTCTCTTTTTCCTTTCTAAATTATATTTTTAAATGCATTAAATTATACACGTAATATGTGCATGCGTCCTCTGGGAAAAAAATAATGGAATGTTGAGTCTCTCCTCAAGTAGTTTCCTTCTCTTTTAATGGCATTTACCTATTCTTTATCAATAATCTCATCAAAGCCAAGTTCTTTGGTCAGACGATTGACAACCGTAAGTGAAAAAAGCTCTTCGATAAAAGCTAACTGATCAAACGGGGTCTTCTCATAATCCATCTGAAACCCACCATCTAGGGCTGCTTCTCTGGCTCTGGATGTTCTCAGAAACATTTTGTTAGCTTCTTCAGGGGTTGTTGATACTCTGTAGCCTGCACCACTGAGCTGCTCCTCTTCCGGATAGTCATAGTTGTCCTCTTAGTCATCAAATTCCTCGCCCTCGTCCTTGCTCGCTAAGTCTGGGGCCACAGTCTGGCCTGGCTGCTCCCCATGGCTAGGCCTGTTAGCGAGGCCCCCTGCCGCTGCCATTGGCTAGGCCTGCGGGCCTCGTCCTCCTCCTCCGCTGGGCATTTCTTCTCAAGCTGTGGCAGGGCACTGTTGCAGGAGGGGTTCGGTGATGGCTACCGGTTCACACTGCCTAGCTCCATCTGCAAAAGGTCACTCTTGCCAGGCATCATATCCCTCTGCAGGTCATTGCTCTCCTCATAAAGTTTGGACAACTTGGACATTCTGGACATGGTTCACACTGCTCAAACACTCGCAAAACGTTTCCAGCAAGATCGAAGTACAGCGGGATCAAGCTTTCTTGGTTTGCTAAATCATTTACCATGGTTCATTTCCTTTCCAGCTTCAAAATTTTGTTGCTCTTGTCTCCTCTTTCATTCTCTAAATCCTTATGAGTTTATTCTTTAAAAAAACAGACACAAAACACTTACTATCATAACGGGGTTTCAGGAGGGAGAGGTGTTAAATGCATGTGTTCATTCTACCATCCGTATTTTCCAACTAGTTATTTTTGGTGCAAGGCTGTATTTCTATTAGGTGGGTCCTTAGTTAACAGGAAAGAAATTGGAGGGGCATTAGTTTTCAGAAAATAGGCAGGAACCAAGGAAGGGTAGCCAGTGAAAATACTGTGGCCAGGACACCATTACCACCACTGCTGGGCATCACAAACCCTACAAGACACAGCCACCAAATCTGATGCTAGACTTTCATGATAACTCTGCTACTGGGTTCTTGACATGGCTGCCTCCAAAATGAAAACTCTCTACTGTTTCTGGATTTCTGTGTCACTCCCTCAAGAGTCAGAGTCCTGGGCAAGAACATGCAACTCGTTGAGCCTAGGTCATGTGCCAACACTGTAACCTCCAGGAGACAGGAAGAAGTATCTGGCGCTTTCAGTTTCATAGAAGGAAACAGATCCATCAAGACTTATGCAATAGGAGAGTCCCCACAAAATAGAAAAAGTATAGCCAAAAAGATGACAAATGTCCACTACACTGGTGCATAGGAAAGCTATAGATTTTTATATGTTGATCTTGTATCTGGCTACCAGGGCCAAGTCTAGAGTGAGGTAAGCAAAGCATCTAAGGCACAAAATTTAAAAAGACACTAATTCTTAGGGTCATGCAAGTGAAGAAAATATAAGGTCACACAGCTAGTAGGTAGCATAGATAGGATTAGAACCCTGGCAATTTTGAAACAGATAAATATGTTAAGGGAACAGGATAGAGAATACAGAAATATATATGTCAATTTTATTGGTCTCAAACAGCCAGCTTTTGGTTTTGTTTTTCTCAATTTTTCCATTTTCTATCCCACTGATTTCCAATTTGATTTTTTTTATTTCCTTTTTTCCATTTATTTTGGGCTTAGTTAAGTAGAGGCTTATCATTGATTTGAGATCTTTTTTTATTTTCTAATACAGGAATTTTGTGCTTTAAATATACATCTTGTTGTTAGGTGCTGTTGGGTCGATTCCGTCTCATAGCAACCCTTTGTACAACAGAACGAAACACTGCCCAGTCCTGCGCCATCCTCACAATCGTTGCTATCTTTGAGCCCATTGTTGCAGCCACTGTGTCAATCCATCTCATTAAGGGTCTTCCTCTTTTTTGCTGACCTTTTGCTTTACCAAGCATGATATCCTTCTCCAGGGACTGGTCCCTACTGATAACATGTCCAAAGTACGTGACTAAGCACTGCTCTAAGGAGCCTGGGTGACACTAGTGGTTTTTGATTGGCTGCTAACCTAAAGGTTGATGAACCAGCCCAGGGGCTCTGAAGAAGAAAGGTCTGGGGAACTGCTTTTGTAAAGATCACAGCCAAGAAAACCCTATGAAACAGCTCTACTCTGTAACACATGGGGTCAGCATTAGTCAGAATTGACGGCAATGGGTTTGGATTTTTTTTTAAGTACTACTTTAGGTGCGTCGCATAAATTTGGGTATGTCGTGTTTTCATTTTCTTTCAGTTTAAAGTACTTTTTAATTTCCCTTTTTATTTCTCCTTTGACGAATTATTTAGAAACATGTTATTTAGTTTCCAAATACTGGAGATGTTTCAGATATCTTTTTGTTACTGGTTTCTGTTTAATTCCATTGTGATCAGAGAACATACATCATATAATTTGAATCCTTTTGAATTTATGGTATTGAGACTTGTTCTATGCCCACAATACAGTTTATAAGAGTTCTGTGTGCACTTCAAAATAGTGTGTATTCAGCTGTTGTTGGTCAAGTTATTCAAGTCTTCTATATCTTTACTAACTTTGTTTCTACATCCTTACTATATTCTTACTGATTTTTCTGTCTTCTTACTCTATTATTTATTGAGAGAGGAGTATTAAATCTCTAAGATTGTAGATTTCTTTATCCTTTCACCTTTATGAGTTTTTGCTTCATATGTTTTGAAGCTCTGTTATTAGCTGCATAAACATTTTGAATTGTTACGTCCTCTTGATGAATTGACCCTTTTCTCATTATACAATGACCCTTTTATTCCTGGTAATATTATTTACTCTGAACTCTCCTATGTCTGATATTAATATAGCTACCCCAGCTTTCTTTTGATTACTTTTAGCAAAGCTTATCTTTTTTTCTACTTTTATTTGTGTCTTTATATTTAAAATGGGTTTCTTTTTGATAATATATTTGGGTCTTACCTTTTTATACAATCTGACAATCTCTGCCTTTTAATTGGAGTGTTTAGGCCGTTTAATGTGATTATCAGTACAGTTGATTTTAAATCTACTACCTTCCTTTCTATTTGTTCTATCTGTTTTCTTCCCTTTTTTCTGCCTTTTTGTTTATTTGTTTTATTTTAATGATTCAATTTTATTTCCTTGTTGGTTTGTTAACTATACTTCTTTGTTTAATTTTATTGTAGTAATATGTTTATAACATTTGCTATTTTAACTATTTTTAAGTGTACAGTTCAGTGACATTAATTACATTCACCATGTTTTTCAACCATCACCACTATCCATTTCAAAATATTTTTCATGACCCTAAACAGAAACTCAGTACCCCTTAAGCAATAATTTCCCTTTCCCCCTAGTCCCTAATAACCACTAATAAACCTTGGTCTCTATGTGTTTGCCTGTTTAGATATTTCACATAAGTGGGATCATACAGTATTTTCTTTTTGTGCCTGACTTATGTCACTCAACATGTTTTCAGTGTTCATCCATGTTGTACCATGTATCAGAACTTCATTTCTCTTTATGGCTGAAAACTATCCCATTGTGTGGATATATCACAACTTAGATTGTTTCCACTGTTTGGCTATTGTGAATAATGCTATAATGAACAGTGATGTACAAGTATCTGTTTGAGTCTTTACTTCCAAGTCTTTTGAGTGTATATCTGGGAGTGGAATTGCTGAGTTATATGGTAATTCTATTTAACTTTTTGAGGAACCACCAAACTGTTTTCCACAGTTGTTGCATTTTATATAACCACCAGAAATAGATGAAGATTTTAGTTTCTCCACATCCTTACCAACACTTGTTTTCTCTTTTTCTGATAATAGCCATCCTAGTGTGTGTAAAGTGGTATCTCATGGTGGTTTTGGTTTGCATTTCCTTAATGACTAATAATGTTGAGCATCTTTTCATGTGCTTATTGGCCATTTGTATATCTTCTCTGGAGAAATGTCTATTCAAGTTTTGCCCATTTTTTGATTGGGCTGTTTGTCTTTTTGTTGTTGAGTTGTAGGAGTTCTTTATACATTTTAGGTATTAAGCCCTTATCAGATGTATGGTTCTCAAATATTTTCTCCCAATCTGTAGGTTGTCTCTTCACTTTGTTGATAAAGTTCTTTCATGCACAAAAGTTTTTAATTTTGATGAAGCCCAATTTATCTATTTTGTCTTTTGTTGCTCATGCTTTGGTGTCATATCCAAGAATCCATTGTCAAAAACTAGGTCCCAAAGATTTACCCCTATGTTTTCTTCTAGGAGTTTTATGGTTTTAGTTCTTGTGTTTAGGTCATTGAACCATTCTGAGTTAATTTTCGTATATGGTGTGAGGTATGGGTCTAACTTCATGCTTTTTCATGTGGAGATCCAATTGTCCCAGCACCGTTTGTTGAAGAAACTATTCTTTCCTCCACTGAATGGACTTGGAACCCTTGTTGAAAATCAATTGAATATATATATATGTTTATTTCTGGACTCTAAATTCTATTTCATTGGTCTGTGTGTCTATACTTACACCAGTACCAGACTGTTTCAATTACAGAAGCTTTATAGTACATTTTGAAATCAGAGAGTGTGAGTCCTCCTGTCCTCCGTTTTGTTCTTCTTTTTCAAGATTGCTTTGGCTATTTAGGGTCCCTTACAATTCTATGTGAATTTGAGGATTGACTTTTCCATTTCTTTGAAGAAGGCTGTTGGAATTTTGATAAAGATTATGTTGACTCTATAGATAACTTTCAGTAGTATTGACATCTTAACAATATTAAGTCTTCCAGTCCATGAACACTTATTTATTTAGGTCTTTAATTACTTTCAGCAATGTTTTATAGCTTTAAGTGTACAAGTCTTTTACTTCCCTGGTTAAATTTGTTCCTTGGTATTTTATTCCTTTAGATGCTATTGTAAATGGAATTGTTTTGTTTTTAATGGTTACTTTAGTATTTATTATATACATCTTTAACTTATCACAATCTACCTTCAATTAATATTTTATCACTTCATATATACGATAAGAACCTTGTAACAGTATACTTCCATTTCTCCTCTCCTAGCCTTTGCGCTATTGTCATAGATTTTACTTATAAATTTGTTATAAAACCCACCACCTGTTGTCTAATGTCTGAAAACCATTGTTTTATATGCTTTGTCTATTTTTGAGTTGTTTAACATTGGAGGGTTAATCTAGTCACTGTTATTCCATCTTGGCCAGAATCAGAAGTTTTAAAGTTTTTGCCCATCATCATCTAATGTTGACCAGTATTTATATTCTCCTCAACAAAATAAGAACTTTTTCCACTTCTTTTTATTTCCTTCCCACTCTTTTTATGCCCTAGCCATCTTTCATGTTGAAATCATCTAAGATTTTAATTCCAGATTGTGTGTGTATGTTTGTGTTTTAACAGTCACTATTATTTAGGCATAACAGTAAGTTTTATTGATTTATCAACAGTGTTTCTTCTTGGGTTTATTATTTGCTTTGCTGAAGTATATCCTCTAGAAGTACTTTGATACTGAGTTCTTGTTTAATATACTTTTTGAGTCCTTGTATGTCCGAAAATATTTTAATATGCTAATTTACCACCACTCTGCTCAGCCAACTTAAAAGTGTCTTAGTTTCTTAGTGCTGCTATAACAGAAATACAACAAATGGATGGCTTTAATGAACAGAAATTTATTTTCTCACTGCTGGGAGGCTAGAAGTCCAAATTCAAGGCACGAGCTCTAGGGGAAGGCTTTCTTTCTCTGTCAGCTCTGGGGGAAGTTCTTTGTCCCTTTTCAACTTCTATTTCTTGGTTCCTTGGTGATCTTCTTGTGGCCTGGCATCTACCTTCTCCCATCTGTGCTTCCTTGCTTCTGTGCCTAATCTGCTCTTTTTCTACCTTAAAAGTGAAGGGCTTAAGACACACCCTACACTGACATGGCCTCAGTAACATACAAAGAAGCCCTTATTCCCAAATGGGATTACAACCACAGGTATAGGGGTTAGTATTTACAACACATATTTTTAGGGGGCACAATTCAATCTGTAACACCAGGTTACTAATAATTTTATCACACAGAAGAGCCATTCAACCTCTCTCACTTAGGGGGGTGGGGGGGCATGTAGAAAACAGGAGAGGACCTACATTCATGGTTCTTGGAAACTCTTCCTTATTGCAGGATGTGAATGCTGTTTTTAAAGGAGATGCTAAGTTGAGCCATCCAGTTTACATAATGAAGATTAAACCACCTAAACCAGTCACAGGTCAGTATAATTCAACTAATACGCCCCTTCCTTTTGCTGTTGACTTCCTAGTTTTTTTCCTTCTTTGCCTTCCTGTACATTTCATGTATTTTCTAATTATTAGCAGCAATACCTAAATTGCAAACATAGTTCTGAAGAGGAAATTTTAAAAACTTCATAATCTCTGGAGCCTAAAAAGAAAAAATGTGTACATTATAAAGATAACAGTTAACTAACAGAATTGGAAATTCAGGTGAGACATGTTTCCTGAGTGCTGAGTGGAGTTCATTCCTGTATTCATATGTTAATTAATTCATCAGTATTTGCTGAGTGCCAATAATGCACCAAGTAAAAAGATGAGTAAGACATATCTGCTGCACTCTAGAAGCTGATGGCCTAGCAAGGGAGAATGGGAGGAAACCACCATAGTAAGATATGATACATGCAGCAATGGGAAATATCTAAAAACTCGCTACCATCTAGTCAATTCCAGCCCATAGTGACCCTATAGGACAGAGTAGAACTGCCCCAGAGGCCTACCAAGGTTATAATCTTTACAGAAGCAGATCGCCACATCTTTCTCCCATGGTTAGCAGCAGAGCGCTTAACCACATTGCCACCAGGGATCCTGGAGAATATCTAAGCCAAAAACCAAACTCGTTGCTGTTGAGTCAATTCTGCCTCATAGCGACCCTATAGGACAAACTAGAACAGCCCCACAGGGTTTCCAAGGAGTGGCTGGTGAATTTGAACTGCCGACCTTTTGGTTAGCAGCCAGGCTCTTAACCACTGCAGCACCAGGGGAGTATCTAGAACCATGAAAACATAGAGAAAGGAGTTATTAGCTCTGCCCAGGGAGTAGAAGAAGGCTTTATCTGAGGAAAGGATGTTTGGGAGTTGATCAGGAGGAGCAGAGGGGAAGTTCATTATAGGCAGAGGATACAGAATATATCCTCTCAGCACTCACACATGATCTCAAATATATATGTACAAAGATGTTCACTTCAGCATTATTTATAGGAGCAATGATTGGCTACGTAAAATACAGTACACTCATACAAAGGAATACTTTGCAACCATTACAAAACAAAGAGGGAACTGCAAATGGTCAGGAATAACCAATTCTCATAAAAGAACATGGTGATAGGACTTACTCTATCAAGATTCATTATAAAGCTCCGGTAATAAGATAGAAAAAATATTTCAATGAAACAGGATATAAAGGCTAGAAGCAGCCCTTAAGTATAAATGGACGCTTGGTACATGGCAGAGGTGACACTGCAGAGCAGGGGAGAAACTGTGGTCATTTTAATAAATGGTTCTGGTTGTCCATTTGGGAAAAAAAAATTAAACTTGAGCCCTGCCTCACACCATACACAAAAATAAATTCCAGATTAATTGGAGAAGTAAATATGAAAGGCAAAATTAAAAAGCTTTAGAAAATGATATAATACAATGTCTCTATGACCTATGGGCAGAAAAAATGCTTAAAAGAAAATTTTTATAAAATTAACTACCATAAAATTAAGAACTTCTAGTCATCATCAAAAGACATCATTAAGATTATGAAAGGGCAAGCCACAGAGTGGGAAAATATATTTGCAAAACATATATAACTTACTAATGATCCATAGCAAGAATATATAAAGAATTTCTGCAAATTATTAAGAAAAAGATAATCCAGTACCAAAACAGGGAAGAATATTACCCAGGCTATTCACAAAAGAGAACATTCAAAATGACCAGTAAACATATGAAAAGGCGCTCAACTTCATTAGTTACCAGGAAAATGAAACTTAAAACCATAATGAGCTATCACTACACACTCACCAGGATGGCTAAAGTTAAAAAAGACTGATCATACAAAGTATTGGTGAGGATGTGGAACAGTTGCAACTCCCATATTGTGGTTAGCAATGTAAATTGGTTAAACCACTTTGCAAAAACAGTTTAGTATTGTCTAATAAGGTTGAAGATAATTTATATCTTATGACTCAGCACTTGTATTCCTAGGTAGGGCAACTAACCATACCGGTTTGCCTGGGTCTAAGGGGTTTCCTTGGATGTGTAATTTTCATTGCTAAAACTAGGAAAGTCCTGATCAAACCAGGACAGGCTGATCACCCTACTTCTAGGTATATACCCAATAGGTTTGCAAACAAATGTGGACCAGGAAACATGTACAAGAATATTAGTAGTGACATTATTTTTAATAGTCTCAAGCATGAAACAACCCAAATGTCCCTCAACAATAGAACAGATAAATAAATTGTAGTATATTCATTCAATGGAATACTATACCATGGACTGCCAAAAGAATGAACAAGTCTGTCTTGGAAGAAATACAGCCAGAATGCTCCTTAGAAGCAAGGATGGAGAGACTTCATCTCACTTACTTTGGATGTGTTATCAGGAAGGATCAGTCCCTGAAGAAGGACATCATGCTTAGTAAAATAGAGGGTCAGCAAAAAAGAGCAAGACCCACAATGAAAATAAACAAACTACAGCTCCATATAACAAAATGGATAAATCTCACAAACATACTATTGAGCAAAAGAGAGCAGACATAGAGTTAATACTGTACAGCTCCATTTATGTATAGTTCAAAATCAGGCAAAACAAACTATAGTGTTAAATTCTTAGTTATCTAGTGCTGCTATAACAGAAATGCCCTAAATGGATGGCTTTAGCAAACAAATTTATTATCTCACAGTTTGGGAGGCTAGAAGTCCAAATTCAGGGTACCAGCTCCAGGGAAGGCTTTCTCTCTCTGTCGGCTTTGGGGGAAGGTCCTTGTCATCAATCTTCCCCTGGTCTAGTTGCTTCTCAGTGCAGTGATCCTGTGTGCAAGGACACATTCTGTTCCTGGTTCTTCTTGCTTAGTGGTGATGAGGTCCCTCTCCTCTCTGCTTGCTTCTCTCTTTTATGTCTCAAAAGAGATTGACTCAAGATATGGCCTAATCCTGTACATTGTGTCCTGCTTCATTAACATCATAGAGGTTAGAATTTATAACACATAGGAAATTACATCAGATCACAAAATGGAGAAGAGCCACGCAGTACTGGGAATCATGGCCTAGCCACATTGACACACATTTTTGGGAGACACAATTCAGTCCATAAAGAAGCCTATTTGTTGTTGTTGTTAGGTGCGGTCGAGTTGGTTCTGACTCATAGTGACCGTAGGTACAACAGAACAAAACACTGCCCAGTCCTGTGCCATCCTTATGGCATGAGCCCATTGTTGCAGCCACTGGGTCAATCATCTCGTTGCGAGTCTTCCTCTTTTTTGCTGACCCTCTGTTTTACCACGCATGATATGTCCTTCTTCAGGGGCTGATCCTTCCTGATAACATGTCCAAAGTAAGCGAGATGAAGTCTCTCCATCCTTGCTTCTAAGGAGCATTCTGGCTGTATTCTAAGACAGATTTGTTCGTTCTTTTGGCAGTTCATGGTATATTCAGTATTCTTCGCCAACACCATGATTCAAATGCATCAATTCTTCTTTAGTCTTCCCTCTTCATTGTCCAGCTTTCACAAGTATCTGAGGTGATTGAAAATGTCATGGCTTGGGTCAGGCACACCTTAGTCCTCAAAGTGACATCTTTGCTTTTTAACACCTTAAAGAGATCTTTTGCAGCAGATTTGCCCAGTGCAGTACATCATTTGATTTCTTGACTGCTGCTTCCATGGGTGTTGATTGTGGATCCAAGTAAAATTAAATCCTTGACAACTTCAATCTTTTCTCTTTTTATCATGATGTTGCTTATTGGTCCAGTTGGATTTTTATTTTCTTTATGTGGAGGTGTAAGTGCTTCAAGTTGTCTTCACTTTCAGCAAGCAAGGTTGTTAGGAGTCTTCCTCCAGTCCTGATGCCACATTCTTCGTCATATAGTCCAACTTCTCAGATTATTTGTTCAGCATACAGATTGAATAAACATGGTGAAAGGATAAAACTCTGATGCACACCTTTTCTGATTTCAAACCAAGATGCCTATTTAGATGGCAAAAATATAAAGAAATGCAATGAAGTGGTTACAATAAAAGTCAGGAGAGTTGTTGCCTTTAGGGTAGAAAGAAGGGGTTGTGGTTGGAAAGGAACCCTTGGGAAGCTTCTAGGTAGCTGTCTGTGTTCTATTTCTTGACCTGAATAGAAAATACTAGATGTTTGTTCTATAATAATTTATTAAGATATACATTTTATGCATTTTTGAATGTGTTATATTTCACAATAAGAAAAGGTTTAATAAACAATAAACAATACAAAGTGATCTCAAAGGTATTTGTTAAATGAAAAAGCAAGGGATATAGTGTTATAACAGGTCCCTGAGTGGAGGAAATGGTTAAGCACTTGACTACTAACCTAAAGGTTGGAGGTTGGAACCCACCCAGTAGCACCACAGAAGAAAGGCCTGGTGATTTTCTTCAGTAAAAAGACTACAGCCAAGAAAACCCTATGGAACAGTTCTACTCTGTAACACTTGGGGTTACCATGAGTTGGAATCGACTCAATGGCAGTAGGTTTGATTTCTGGTTATAGTGCATAACAACAATTTTCAAAGTTTACCTGCATCAGAATCACTTGGAGGACTTTTTAAAACCCAGATTGCTAGACCCCCACCCCCACCCCCTGACACACACACACACAGTTTCTATTTCAATAAGTGTGGGTTGGGGCCTGAGAATTTGCTTTTCAAACAAGTTCCCAGGTGGTGAAGCTGGTGATCTGGGACCACACTTTGGGAACTACTAGCTTATAATATACATTGGTTTATAAAAAGAAGTCTCCCTCTAGAGAGTTATACAAGAAACTGTTAACAGTGGCTCTTCCTAGATAGGGGCCTGGGGCACTGTGGCACCTCCTGAGCAACTTGAGGGACCTAAGCACCTTCCAAAGAGAGCAGAGTTCTGAAACTTGGAGTGCAAACCCAGAAAATAAGTCACCCAGTTCTGTGGATTTAGCAACAGATGAACAAGAAGGAAATGAAAGGTTATTGGGAAGGGGAGGGTTGAGAAAATTGATTGGCAGGGAAAGGAGATTTTGTTAAAGGAAGATAATTGGATAAACATAAGCATGGGAAGAGAATGGGATTGCCTAATCATGTGGGTCTTCAGCAGTGGCTGAACAATGGTGGTAAACTGGGAGGTTTTGTACCTTGCTTAGCTGGGGAGACGACTGTCGTGATCCAAGGCCTCTTGTGGCTTCGTGGACATTTCCTTGGCCTCCTTTGCAGCTTCTGCAATCCAGAAGCAAAGCAAACAAACAGCTAGCTACTCTGCTTGGGCTCGGTGAGTGAGTGGGGCAGGGGAGAAGACTGAACACCTGGGGTCACAGACCAAGTGCTGAGCAAGGCTGACAGGTTCTGCACGAAACTGGGAAGCATGGAAGAAGCCAGGGGAAATCAGCAAAAGGGAGGCCAGATGACTAATTCTGGAATATTGTCAACCCAGGCACCACATTTAAAAGCCCTCTGGAAGTCTTTGCAAAGATAGAGGATTGCTGTGGGCTAGGCTCCGGGCAGAACCACTTCATCAAGGACAGTCAGTGGGAGCAGCAAGCGGCCATCTTCCACGCTTCATACAAGAAGTATCTGGATGGGGAATGGGAAGAGGAGCCGCTCAGGTGAGCAAGAGAAGGCACCTGGAGTCCCCAGAGCTTCTCTCCTGGCACACTCAAGAGTCAGCCCAAGTACTTGAATTAATCCAAGGCCTAAAAGCTCTGGTTTGGGGGACTTTTCAGAAAACTTCAGATGTTTTGAAAAGTTGTGTAGAGACTGTTTAAATCTAGTTAGAACAAAGGCTGATAATATGGATTTAAAAGGAGGAATATGTATTTATGGAGATTAGAAATAGAATTTATTTTAGTTTTATAAATGACATCGTCTCTTTTTAAAAAGCTTTTTTCCAGATTTTATAGAAAACACAGAAGATCCTAAAGATGGAAGTAAAACTAATCACCACTATTAACATTTTTCTTCATTTCTTTCCAGTCTTTATAAATGTGACGTATATGCGTGTCGTTCTTATAATGCATTACTTTCTGATCTCTGATCGGCAGTTGAGGCCTCATTAACCCCACGTTGTGATTGTAAAAACAGAGCCCAAGTCTTTGAAGTACCAGTGGTGGAGCTAGCTTTAGGAACTAGCTCTCCTAACAGCTAGTGTGGGTCTCAGGAATGTTCTAGTTTTCAGGTGGGAAGTGAACCCTCTCATCTCGCTGTCAAGTGGACCTTGAATTTCCTCGCTGCAGGATACAGACTCCTAAGGCTCAGCCATACCAGCAACTACCTGTTGCCTGAACTGGAAACATAACGAAGTTCAGAGGTATGCTGAAGCCAGCTCCTACTGACCAGCGAGATATTTAGGAATTTTGCAAGCCAGTTGGTAATTATCCATGGTGGGTGTATTTACGCCATGAAAATCTGCAAACTCTACAAATCAGGGCATTTTTCTTTCTTTCCTTTTTCTAGAGAGTCAGTTTACCAGCACACCACTGATTGTATTGCCCCCAGGATAAGAGGATAAGAGAGTGTTTATGCAAATTTCCCAAGTTAAGGGATCTTCCCTGAGGACAGAGGTGGCTCTCCAAAAGGGAACCGTCTCTGGTGGGAGTTCTGCCCTGTACCATTACTGGCCTGGAAATGTCTCCTGCACCTTAGCCTGTCCATCTGGATGGTGGCTTCTGAAGCTCATCCCATCCACGTGGATAGTGGCTCCTGCAGTTTAACCCACCCTGCCCTCACCAAGGTCCAAGGTCTGCCCATCTCACCAGGACCAGCCATAGAATGTAGTTTGTCTCATGGCCCTGCACCCATGGGAAGGCCATTTTCACTAGCCCTTTCTGGTTTTAGTTTCAAGACTCTGCCGGCATCTCTCCTTGCCAAGGAGTCTCTCATTGCTCTGACTAGTATCTCTTTCTTTCCCAGTGTGGCCACGTTCCATTTTCTCCTTCCTAGCTGCGTATTTGCAATGCCAGCAGAAGTCAAGAGCTCTTCAGGTAAAGGAACGTGAAGCAGGTAGTTATCTTGGGGAGGTGGTCTCCTTGGGTAGTCCCTCAGCAAGCCTCCTAGAGAAATTCCACATAGCAAACCCTGCTTGGTCCAGGGCTCGGCTGATCTTCGGTGGGAGGGAATGAAGGTGGAAATTGAGTTGTCAGCTGTAGCTTAAGGGTTTCTCTTTGGATTTGTGTCCCCCAAGCTAGATTCCCTGGTAATGGAGGCTGGCACTGTCTTCAGGGAGTGGCCCCCACAGAGGAGGGTGTGAGTGCACATCCTGCCAGGCAGCTTCTGGATATGAATTCATTTTGTAGAAAATGTTATTCAAAACACTGACAGCCAAGGGACATGAATTATCGAGAGGATGTGAAAGCAGCCTAGGTACCCTTGTGATCATCCTCCCTGCCCAGGAAGGCTAGCGAGCCCTAGGAACAGCCCTCATGGGGGTGCCAGTCCCTCTTCTTTGGGAAGTTCATCCTTCTGTTGGGTAGTGCCGGTTAGAACAAACCACTTCTGATTTCAGACCAGCTGCGTCTTGGACAAACACCTGCCATGCAAACTGAAGGCCACCCAGACTTCTTACATGATGGCTCTTTCCTCTTTTCTTTCCCAGGGGCAGCCTGTATCCTTGGCGTACATTGGACTGGAAGTCATAATTTCTTCCTCTACTCACTTCACCGAACTCTGAAGGATAAAGTTGGCATGTTATCGCTGAGATGGGAGTTGCCTATGCTCAGTGCTCTCAGAACATGTGCTTCTTGGGCTTGGCTGAGATTGTGTGACTGACACAATAGTGTCACTTTAGGGGGCCCGAAGTGGGTGACTCAGTGCTGTGGTGTGACCCCAGGGGTCTGGCCTTAAACTTTCATGTTTCTTAAAGATGATAGGTCAACAGGGACACAGTCCAGAGTCAGGCTCACAGGGCCCCTAAGGTAGCTAAGGTGAAAGAGGGTGGCTTGGCATGGGAAGGGCAGCTCCCATCCCATGCACCTGTTTGCAAACCATTAGCGTCAGGCCAGTAACTCCCAGGCCCCAAACCCCTATTTTATGGTCTGAAACAAGAGCTAATTACACCATCCCTATCTACTGCATGCATTTGCTATGAATAGCAAAATCCAGAGTTGCTGTATGTAAAAGCTCTTTGAAGTTGAAAAATGTTAAGAAAATATAGGGTGGTGGTTGTTGTTTTAGGGAGCCCTGGTGGGGCAGTGGTTAAGCGCTGGGCTGCTAACAGAAAGGTGGGCAGTTCGAACCCACTAGCCGCTCCAAGGGAGACAGATGCAGCAATCTGCTTCCATAAAGATTTACAGTCTTGGAAACCCCATGAGGCAGTTCTTCTCTGACCTGTAGGGTCACTACAAGTTGGAATTCGACTCGATGGCAGTGGGGGTGGGTTGTTATGTATTTATTTATTTATTTTACAAATTAACAGAGGCAGTTGTGTAAGTGAGTTCACTTTGTGGTAATTCCTTAAACTGCACATTTATGTTATACTTTAGTATACTTCAAAAGTAATGTTAAAAAATTCACAGAGAAGGGATTTCTATCCATCTCTCCCTCTCCCAAGTAGCCTGGCTTATAATCTAAACTTCTGTACTGACTGGGCATACATTTACTTCTCTGCCTCAGCTTCCTCATCTGTAAAACGGGGGTGCTAATAGCACCTACCTCATAGGATCCATGTGAGAATTAAATGAAATTTAACAGTGTTTAGCACCTAGCACCCAAACCAAAACCCACTGCCATTAAGTCGATTCCAACTCAGCAACTGTCGTGGATTGAATTATGTCCCCCCAAAAATGTGTGTGTCAGTTTGGCTGGGCCATGATTCCTGGTACTGTGTGAGTTTCTTATATGTTGTAAATCCTGACTCTGTGATGTTAATGAGGGAGAATGGGTGGCAGTTGTGTTAGTAAGGCAGGACTCAATCTACAAGATTGGATTGTGTCCTAAGGCAGTCTCTTGAGATATAAAAGAGAGAAGTGAACAGAGAGACAGGGGGACCTCATACCACCAAGAAAGCAGTGCCAGGAGCAGAGCGCGTACTTTGAAACCGGGGTCCCTGTGCAGAGAAGCTCCTAGTCCGGGGGAACATCAGTGAGAAGGCCCACAGAGAAAGAAAGCCTTCCCCTGGAGCTGACACCCAGAATTTGGACTTTCAGCCTACTTTACTGTGAGGAAATAAATTTCTCTTTGTTAAAGCCATCCACTTGCGGTATCTATGTTATAGCAGCACTACAAAACTAAGACAGCAATCCTATAGGACAGAGTAGAACCGCCCCATAGGGTTTCCCAAGCAGCAGCTAGTGGATTCAAACTACCAACCTTTTGGTTAGCAGCCAAGCTCTTAATCACTGTGCTACCAGGGCTCGCTGCAGGCACCTAGCAAGTAATCATTAAATGTTAGTTGTAGAATAACAGTACAACTTACTATTATATTATCCTAAAGAAGAAGAATAGCATTGCATGGAGAGGAGAGAGATGGTGAGTCTAGACAGGTACTCTTGGTGCCCATGCCCTGGACAGGTAGACTAGTCTGGGTCTCGAGTTGTCCAGGTGGAGTTGATGGGTGGGTGCAGGGTCCAGGGGGGCATCCTGGTGAGTAGTGTCATCCCCCCTAGACCCCGAAGGTGTGTGGCCATGTGCAGCACCCATTGTAGCCTCTGCTCTCAGCAGCTCCTGCTCCTACCTGGTGCTGGCATGTGAGGACGGTGTGCTCACACTGTGGGACCTGGCTGAAGGTGAGCCCCCTACCTCTCTGCCTAACACCTAGGTGGGTCTCCAGGCAACAAGGCACCAGGAGCTCTGGAATTCCTATAGGCTCTGGTCCTTCTGTTACCTCTGTGTTCTTAAAGTTACCTTGGGGCGTGGGTCCTGCTGTCTCATCCATTCTTTGTATAAACATTTATTGAACTTAATATGTGCTGCTAGGAGCCCTGATAGTGCAGTGGTTAAGAGCTACGGCTGCTAACCAAAAGGTCGGCAGTTCGAATCCACCAGCTGCTCCGTGGAAACCCTAGGGGCCGTTCTATGCTGTCCTCTAGGTCTCTATGAGTCAGAATCAACTTGATGGCAATGGGTTTGGGGTTTTTGTTTTAATATGTGCTGAAGCTTCCCATATTTATTGCGGGCTTGCTCTGTGCTTGGCACTGTACCAGGTCCTGGAAGTAAGACCATTACCTTCATTATCACACTCCAGTGAAGAAGTGTTTTCTAGCACAGTGTGCAATGTCATGGTGGCCTCAGCCTCTTCCTCCCAGCCCCCAAACTATCAAAATGAGCATGTTTTCTTTCCTGCTACTCCACCCCACCCCATTCATCAGGATCCTCATCAATATTGGAGCTTGGAGACCTATCAAGCAGTCAGTGTGAGACCAACAGCCCTCCTTGGTGGAGCCCCAGGGTCCTGGTCCAGCTTTGCAGGTGCAGAAAATCAGTGGTATCCATTTACCCTAAACTGATCAGCTGCTAGAGAAGTCTGCTTCTAACCAAACTTTTAAAAAAGTGATTAGTGAGTCAGTTATTTATCATTTTACAATGGGAAATATGTTCCACTCAAGTGTGGAGTGGCCCATCTTCTGGGGCAGCCCTCCCGGAAGGCAAACCAGCGACAGTGCCCTGTTCACTGGGGAGCTCCTGATCAGAAAAGGAGCTGCCTGTCCTCAGGTAGGCTTCTGTCAAGCCAGTGGAACTCACTTGGCTATTTCCATCTGAAGATCTTAGTGGTAGTTTAGAATAATAGGACCTTCTCCCCACATGGTGCTAAGATAAATACGGACTAAAGGTCCTCCTGAATTTTATTTATTGCATCCACCACATTATTATAATAGCCAAAGAGATTTCAAAGAAAGAATGATCATAATTTCACAAGCACTTGCCCATTAACTTGTTTTCATTTTTTCAGATATTGATGAATTATTGCTGCTTGGCCACACACACAAAGACCTCTTTCCTTTTCTGAAACCTCTCCCCCTCTCCTGCTGTACCTTTACAACCAGCTGTCAGCTGTAGCTCAATATCTACCTGGGCTGTAGCTTCCTTCTGTTCCAATGCTGGCTCTGCCCTCCTCCAGAGGCTTGGTTGTCCCCCTCCCCAGCTCCTGTCAATACACAGAGGAGTTACCCCAGAAGGGCGCTCTTCTCTCCTCCCACTGGGCACTGGGTTTTACTGGTTTCACTCTCAGAGACTGCTCATTGCCTGATTGATTTCCTCCCCACATCTACAAGTCCCTCCCGTACTTGCAAGTCACAGACCCTGTACCCATGTCTGCATCCCCCGCCCCCATTTCTGACCTGCTTGTTTGATTTTTTTCTCCAGGTTTCCCTCTTGGGGTTGTTGCTCTTCCCGATGGATGTTTCTGCCAAAGCATTCACTTCCTAAACTACTTCTTGGTCCACAAAAGACGGAACGTGTATCCTGAGGGTCAAGTGAAATCCAAAATGAAATGTGTGGTGCTATGCACAGATGCCTCCCTCCATCTGGTGACAGCCAACGGGACCAAAGGACCCACCATCAGTGTGCTTGTTGAGAGGTCAGTGGCTTGAGGGCAGGACGGAGCAAAGATCCACCAGACAGATGATCCCAATTTAATAGCATAAAACCGATAACCTCTCCAACTAGGGTCCACTTTCCCTAGAGTCATCACTCTCCCCATGAGCTCTTCAAGATCTCCAATGTCTTTTTTGCTTTTGTATGTATTTCTTTTGATAAAATTGTATGATGGTACAAAATGATATCTTTTATATCCAGAATTACCATAAAGAGGATTATTTCTGCAAAAATAGTCTAGCCTTTCATCAGTTTCCATAAGAGTCTCTCTCTTTTTAAATTGTGAGATATGCATGCAAGTGGATTCTATACAATGTATATATAAGGTGTGAAGAATAATGAGCTAAATACCCCTATACCCACCACCAAGCTTAAGAATTAGAGTATTTCCAATTCCATTAAGGCTCCCTGCGTGCCTCTCCTTGATCACATCCTTCTCTTTTCTCCCCTAAAGGTAACCAGCTTATTAAGCACGTATTGCCACATAACAAACCATCCCAAAACTTAGTGGCTTAAGACAATAATTATTTAGCCTTGATTCTATAGGTCAGCACTTTGTTCTGAGCTCAGTTGGGCAGTTCTTCTGTTGGTCTTGCCTAGGATCTCACAGGTACCTGCACATGTTAGGCAGTTGGTAGGCTGTTGGCCAGGGCACCTTGGTTCTCTTCCTAATGGCCTCTCCAGCAGGCTAGCTGAAGCTTCACCACATGGTAATCTAAGGGTTACCAGCAACAAGAGAAAGCAGCCCCAATGTACAAATGCTTTTCAAGCTTTGCTTGTGTTATTGTTGTTAGCAGCTGTCAAGTCTGCCCTCAACTCATGGTGACCCCATGGACAACAAAACAAAACACTGCCTGGTCCTGTGCCATCTCCATGATCTGCCACATATCAGACCATTGTGATCCATAGGGGTTTCATTGGCTGATTTTTCAGAAGTAGATCACCAAGCCTTTTTTCCTAGTTTATCTTGGTCAGGAAGCTCTATTGAAACCCACTCAGCATCATAGCAACGCAGAAGCCTCCACTGACAAATGGGTGGTGGCTGCACATGAGGTTCATTGGCCAGGAAATCAAACCCATATCTCCTGCATGGAAGGCCAGAATTCTACCACTGAATGATCCCTGCCCACCTCTGCTTCTGGTACATTTGCTAATGCTTCACTGGGCAAAGCTAGTCACATGACCAAGCCAAGATTCCTGCAGTGGAGAAATAGACACTACCTTTTGATGGGAGGAGTACCAGATATTATGGCCAGTTTTTTTTCAATCTACCACATCATTTTCCTAAATTAGTCATTCTATTGCTTTCCTTTAAGGGTTAACCACACACACGACTGTATCCAAACACTATATCGTTTAGCTTTGCATGTATAAGGAACTTATAAATGGAATCATATTCTATATATTCTCCAACTTGTTTTTTGATGCTGTTTATTCTGTAGCTTGCTTCACAGCATGGTTCATGAGAGTCGTACATGTAGCCCCAGTTCTTTTATTTTCATTGTTGCATTTCATCCCCTTGTATAGATATACCACAATTATTTAAGCTTTCTCCTACCAGTGGATATTTGGATTGTTCCTACTTTTTTGCTACTATGAACAGTCTTCTTCATATCTCCTGGTGCTCATGTGCAACAGCTTCTCCAGGATATCTGCCTAGGAGAGAATAGCAAAACTTTAAAATACTTCCAGGGGCCGAATATCTGTGTGTCTGCTTGTTTCCTGTAGGCCTGTAAAGCACCTGAATGAAACCATCTGTGCAGTGGCCCCGGTCCCAGCCTTACCTGGCATGGTAGGTTCCCAGTGCCTCTCATTCTTCTTCAGTGAATTTGTTCATTTTTTTCCTTCAAAAAATATTTTCTGAAGACCTACTGTGTGCCAGGCACTGGACTAGCTTTTGGCTATACAGATATGAAAGACAAAGTCCCTGCCCTCAGGGAGCTCACAGTTCAGTTGGAAAGGCAGACAAGTCACCAGGCAGCCACCATAGAGCATGAGAAGGGCTACGATATGATTATGCATGGATGCCACAGGACAGAGACAGGAGCTACCTACCTGAACCTGTGGAAGTCAGCAGGGAGTGGGGTGTGGCTTTCTGGAGGAAGTGACATCTGAGCTGAGCCAAGCTGAGCCAGGGGGAGCTGAGAAGGCAGCCCCATGGAGGCAAGAGAGCACTGTGTGTCCCAGGCATCACAGGAAGCTCAGAGTAGCTGCAGGTCAGATTTGTGGGGAGTGTGGAGGGGGAGAAACTGGGGAATGGACTCGACCTTGCATGAGATGGGGATTGACACAGCAAGAGGTTAAAGCTAGGGCACAGCATATCCAGAGAAGGGATGAGAGTGAAGAGGTGTTCGTGAGGAGATGGATTTCACAATTCTGGGCTAGCCAAAGGGGAGGGAGGCGTCACAGCTGATCTTGGCTTGGGGTCTCCACGAAGTGGATTTAGTAATCCTTACAGGGCCCACTGGAACACGGGCCTGGAGGAAAGTCTGATTTCCAGTATGGCCCTGCTGAATGAAAGGGGTCTATAGGACACACAGAGGAGGTTCCAAGAGAGCCCGGATTAAAAATGTAGGTTTGGTGCTCACCACCCCGTTAGTGAGTGGTGGTTGAAGCCATGGGTGCAACAGGTCCCCCAGTCAAAGAGAGGAGGTGAGTAGGAAACAGGTTCCCTGAGGGTGCTGCCATCATTTACAGGACAGGCAGAGGAAAGTGAACTCACAGCAGGGCTGAGAGGGACACGCACGGAAACCCAGGAGAGAGTAGGTCCCGGAAACTCAGAAGTTTTAAGAAGGTGAGAGCAGTGGCCTGTGCTGCAGAAAAACCACGGACAGTGAAACCTGTGAGAACCAGGACTCGTCAGGATGGCCTTGTTTTTCCAGGTCTCGCAAGTTTTCCGCCTTTGACAGGGTGCAGTCTTAAACCACTTTTCTATCGCTCATTTTAGTGAAAAATATTTGAGTTTTCCTTCTCTGACAGGTTTCCACCTTACATAGATTCCAACTTTTGCAGGTCTTACTGTACCTCATGGAGAACGGTGTCCTAGGCAGGGTGGGCCAATGGTCAGTGAGTGGAGGTGGAGGAGTGGAGATGCTGAGTAAAGACATTCTCTCAAGGCGTTTGAATGTGAAGGGAAAGAAGAAGTGGCTGAAGGAGGCTAAAGGGTCAAGGAAGGGCATCCTAAGGATTGGAGTGAGTTTAGAAGGTTCATCTACAGAGAAGAAAGAGCCCAGGCAAGAGAGAAGCCCCATCTCAGATCTCGGGCAAGAAAGGGTCTACTGGATTGGGCAGGGTCTCGGAGATGGGGAGGAAAGGGCATCAGAGACAGTTGCAGAACTGAGTCCTGACCACATGTAGAGGGAGAGCTCTCTGGTAGAGATGCCAGGGGAGCAGGAAAGAGGAGCCAAGGCTATGGGGGAAGAACAGCACTGGATCAAAGCCAGCACCCGGATGTGGGCCTATCTGCTGATGGTAACAGCAGGGTGAGCACAGTGGATGCACATGTTTCTGCCATTCCCTGAGACAGGCTGGGTGGACCCAGAGACTGGGTGCACAAGAGCCAGATAAATTCTCTCTCTGCTTCCATTTTTTATGTCCAGCTGCTTCCATACTGAGGTGAACTCTAAACTACCTTCCTGTGGTGACAGAGTCCAGTAGAAGTTTCTACTCACCGTCTGTTTGCTTCCAGCTGCTGATCTTTTCCTGGAACGGCTCTGTGCGCCTCATGGATGTGGCCAAGTCTGAAATCCTCTGTGCCTTTGCTCCGCCCAGATCCTACCACCTGGCAGTCCCCTGGAAGCCAGTATTTGTTGTGTCTTTACACCATCCATGTTTCCTGCTTCGAGGTATGGAAGGGGACCATGCCCAGACCTGTGGCCACTGACAGTTTCCCTGACTTCTCTGTCCTCTCACAAAGTACGAGGTGGCCCCATTCCCATTCCCTCCACCACAGGCCAAGAGGACATTGCAGGTCAGTCCTCACATTTTGTCAAAATACCTGGCAAGGTCTTCTTTCTGGACTCCTCCTCTGATCAAATGAGCCCCTCAAAGCCCAATGCAGAGACCCAGCCTTTATAAACAGCAGCACCCATATACCCACCTGGGCCTGGGGCCTCTTGTCCTCCCTAGGCTGCCCACCACCACACAGACCATCGAGAAAGCAATCATTATAGAGAACATGAGGCTCTGGTTTCTTTTCAGGAGACCATCCAGATGAAATTGAATGCACCAGCAATGCCAAGAAGATCAGAAATTCTATTTTCTATTTTAATTTCGAGGCCTACCCACTCCTGGAAGAGATCTCAGGAAACTGCACCATTCCTCAGAGTGACTTGACAGATAACAAGGCCTTCTCCGAGACGCTGCCTTTGGAGAAGAGATGCGAGCACTTCCTCCAGAAGAGGTAAAGAGTTCTGTGTCTACATCCCATCCTGGTATCTGGGGTTGTCTCTGGGTTGCGGGAAGTGGGGTTTGTTTGATGGTAAGATCCTTTCAGCATTTAAATTCTCCCTTATATGAATGATTCCACCATATTGTAGCCCATGAGCCACACTCCGCTTCATGTTCGGGTTGGTAGAAGAGGAGTAATGAATTCGACTGGTAGAAAACAAGGGCTTCCACTTGGTGCATTCTTTCTGTCAAGACCATCTTTTCTTTTTACTTTCTCAAATTTCTTACTAAAGAACAACAACAACAACAGAAAAGACATGTTTGGACTATTAGATACAATCATTTCAGACAGGGGTTGGCAAACTTACAGCCTGTGTGCCAAATCCATCCCACTGCCTATTTTTGTAAATAAAGTTTTATTGGAACACAGCCATACTCATTTGCTTACATATTAATCTATGCCTGCTTATGAGCTGCAGCTGCAAAGCTGAATAGTTGGAGCAGAGATCATATGACCCATAAAACCTAAAATATTTACTATCTGGCCCGTCACAGAAAATGTTTGCCAACCCCTCATCTAAAGTCCCTTTTCTTTATCCATCATCTAGAGCACAGTTCTACTTTGACACACATGGGGTCACTGTGGGTCACAGTCAACTCTACAGTAATTTGTTTGGTTTTTATGACAATGATGGGGATATTGGTGGTTTGGTGGTAGAGTTCTGACCTTCCATGCGGGGGCCCAAGTTCAGTTTCTGGCTAGTGCACCTCATGTGCAGCCAGTGTCCATCTGTCATTGGTGGTTGGTGTGTTGCTATGATGTTGAACAGGTCTCAACAGTGCTTTCAGACTAAGACAGACTAGGAAGAAAAGCCTGGCTATCTGCTGAAAACCAGCTAATAAAAATCCTATGGATCACCATGGTCCAATCTGCAACCAATGATGGGAACGGTGCAGGACCGGGCAGCGTTTCATTCCATTGTGCGTGGGGCCGCAATGAGCAGAGGGTTGACTCTACGGCAGCTAACAACAACAAGATGACAGTGATGATGGTTGCCTCCCTGTGAGCCCCGTTTCATTCCTGGGAAAATTCTGAACATTAACACTAGGTGGCCCTCCAGCTCCTCCTTGCTTTCCTTCTCCTGACTGCATTTATTCACTGTAGTTATGTCAGCTTGTGTTGTGGCTTGCTTGGATGGCTTTCAGTATCTCATGGAGGGAAGCGTGCTCATTTATCAGAAGAATATGGGAACATGGGTCTTAGGAGGAGAGGCACAATGAAGAAGGGGACACCTGACATGCCCCTGATTAAAATTTCCACGGAATGCTCAGCTCTTCCTCACATGGAGGTTTCTGATTTTGACCCTTGATTGACTTGTCCTCAGAAGATGCAGCTGAATAATTTAGAGGTGAAGGCTCATGATGTCTACAACTTACTGTCAAATGGTTTAGGAAAATAGACATAGGAGCCCTGGTGGCGCAGTGGTTAAATACGTGGCTGCTAACAGAAAGGTTGGCGATTTGAACCAGTGCTTCAAACCAGTTCCATTCTTGTTCGAACCCCTGCTGAGAATTTGCATTTCTAACAAGTTCCCTGCTGAGAATTTGCATTTCCACCCGATATACTGAATCAGAATCTACATTTTAACAAGATCCCCAGGTGATTCTTATGTATAATTTTCTGGGAACTTGTTAGAAATGCAACTGGTTTGAACCCACCAGCTACTCCAGAGAGGGAGAGATGTGGCAGTCTGCTTCCTTAAAGATGACAGCCTTGGAACCCTATGGGGCAGTTCTACTCTGTCCTGTAGGGTCACTCTTAGTTGGAATCGACTCAGTGGCAATGGGTTTGGTTTTGGTTTTTAGAGAAAGAGAGGGAGATAGAATATTAACCACCTGTGTATCTAGGTGAAGGTTCATGGTAGCATTCTTGCAACTTTTCTATAGATTTGAAATTAAAGAAAAAGGAAAAAAAGGGAGGAAATGCCCTATAATGTTGTAAATTATTATAATAAATTTTATGAAATATTATTTACAGTCTAGTCCTGATTTTTAATAAAAGAGAAAAGACGAGAAATATGTATACCATTAGTGTAAATGGTTTTATTTGGGTGATGGAATTATATGTGATATTTTTCTTTGTATTTTTCCTATTTGAAACTTTTCTACAAAAAATATGCAACATTTAGATAAATACATTAAAAGTAGTCATGAAACCAAACAAAAAGTCAAGAGTGGGAGGTTAGGCCATGGCTGTAACAAAGCGGTTCTCCTGGGTGGGGGTCATGGCATGGAGCTTTCTGGTGCTCTCGCCTGATGAGGCTCAGGAAACTCTTCATTTAATGAGCTTGTTTCTGTTTCTGTGATTTCTTATCCAATCCCCTTTTTTTACTGGCGAAGAAAGAGAGAGCCCCAATTTACCCAAAGTTTAAAGCGGGTACCCCACCTGTCAGAATGGGGCCAGCGCTAGCAGCTCCAGCTCTCGGCGGCTCACCTCCTGGCGGCTCTGCCTCAGTCCCTCATCGACATTTCTCCCCCGCAGCCAAGGCGCAAGTGGCAGTTGGTCCTCAGACCCCTGTGGAACCTTGCTTAGCCCATGAAAGTGGCTTCAAGTGTAGAACTATTACCGTAACAGAGTAATTTCCCATTCAAAAAATTATATTATTTCTGATATAAGTTATCTATGCGCTTGTAGAAATTTGGAAAACAGGAAAATACAAATAAGAAAATTTAAATAACTCACAATGCCACTACCAAAAATCACCAACAGTGCCATTAATATGCTACTGAATTTCCTTCCAGGCTTTTTCGCCTGGAAGTTTTACTAAGACGAGGTCATATTTCATACTCACTTTTTTATCTGACTTTATGTCACTCAAGAATATAACTTAATGATTTTTTCATTTTGTTAAGGAAAACATCTTTGTAAACATAGTTTTAATGCCTGTGGAATATTCCATGGGAAGGGTGTCTGTAATGTCCTTCACCACTCCCCTGTGGTTGGACCTGTTCTGACAAGAAGAAGAGTTGTTTCTGTCCTGACTTCCCCAGTCTCCAGAATACCAGAGGGCCACCTCACCTCCCACCTTCTCCTTCCCCACTGTCTCTTCTCCCTGTCAACACAGCTTAGCTCCGAGGCTCCACATCCCACTCCCTCCCCAACAAGGCCCCACACGCTGGGTGGGGTGGAGAGGAATGCCTTCTGAGGAACCTTCTGCAGGGAAGAGGGCTGGAGCCAGTGAGGCTGGTCAAGTGGGGCATTGGTGGCTGGGGCAGAGTGAACTTTGGGGACTGGGAGAGCTAACGGTCCACAGCAGGAACTGGGAGGGGACGCAGTGTTTAGTTGGGGGCAGGCCTGGGTTCCCAGGCACCCTTAGGGATCTGATTTGAGGGAACATTTACTTGGACCTGGTCACAGTATTCGAATTACATCTCTTGTGGCAACTCATTTTCTGAGTCAACTCCCAGAGAGAAATTGGGAAACGCTATGATCTGAAGAAACCTTTCCTGTTCTACTTGCTCTAAGATCTGATTTCTGGGTCTTTCCCAAAGAGCATTCTCCTACCCTGCCACTCAACATTTTTTTATAAGAAATTTCAAACATATAGCAACTTAGAAAAAAATTTTCAGTAAACACTCACAACCTAGATTATCATTAACATTTTACTGTGCTTGTTTTATCACAAATCTCCATGTCCCAAGGATTTTAGTGTCTTTTTTTCTGCTTACTCCTTGAGTCTGAAACAGTCTCCACTGGCCCTAAAACTGGGTGAAACTTTAAGGCAATGGGATCATGTGGTAATAGACTCAAAGTTGCAGACTTGCAATAGTCTGTCCCAATTGTTTTTGCAAAACACGCACTGGGACTTCTGTCAGCAGTCAGTGTGAAACTGAGTAGTCTTCAGGGCTTGAGAGGAGGCAAGTCAGTGCCAATGTCAACCCAGACCTCCAGGGGATGCCATTTCCATTTGGCACCACTCCCTGTCTGCTTTAGTGTCCGCCATCTCTGGCTGGGTCATCCTTCTTTTGATAACACAGACAATAAAAAAAACAAAAAACCAAAGCCATTGCCGTTGAGTCAATTCCAACTCATAGCCACCCTATAGGACAGAGTAGAATGGCCCAGTAGGGTTTCCAAGGAGCAGCTGGTGGATTCGAACTGCCAGCCTTTTGGTTAGCAGCCAGATGCTTCACCACTGCACCACTGGGCTCCTTTTGATCACAAGGAGACAGAAATTTCAGGACACCAATAAACGGACAAAAACAAAGGGCCCCTCTCTCACTTTATTCCCTGTCAAATACAAGATCAAGCAAGATCCAGGTTCTACCCATCCAGCTTTCAGCTAGAAGGTGGGTTTCTGAGATGACCCCATAGTCCCAGACCCACAGTGTACCCAGCTCTCTGGGTGAGGAGGTGGGCAGGCCCTGTGTGGACACCAGCTGACCAGCTTCTAGCACAACTGGATGAGGTCAAGGGATGATATTCTGACTGCCCCCCCCAACTATCCCTGAGGTGGAATGTGTGGGCCAGTGGTGTCAGCAAATCCTATTGCCTTTCTTGAGAAACAAAGGGAATCGCTCCCAAAATTATTTATAGATTCCTAGACCCCAAATTTGCAAACAGTTAAAGGCTTTGCGCAACGGATTTGCAGAAGTTCCATCTTCACTCCTGTTTTGTGGATAGACAGCCTTTCCTTTTGGAAGATGCACACACACCCCTTGTCACTACTTTGCTTAAAAGCAGTAGACAAATGTTGTAGTTTGTTATGCCATCGTGGGAAGGAAACAATCTTCGTTTACTGCTGGTGGAGGGAGGTACATCAGGCTCCATAGATGGCTTTTTCCAGAGGGTCCCTGTAAAACCCACCTGCCGGTCAGTGCCAGTATCAGATGAACCAGACATCTGCTCCACTCCTTCCATGGCTGCTGAGCACATGCTACGTAGCACACACCACGTAAGCACCTCACCAAGCTTTCATATGCTCCCTCCACATAACAGCCCACCCCCCAGACCACCACCACTCACCAAACCATCACTCACACCTCCTGTCACCTCTGGCTCTCAGTGGATAACCTCGTCTCCTGCTTCCCAGAGAACTTCAGTCGCTCGGCTGTCCCTCACCTGGTCACCCCACCCCAGCTCTCCAGTCCAACCCACCTCCTGACTCAGAGAAAGAGGCACCCTGCTCACTGATACTTCCTCCTGGATCCCTGGTCCCAGGCCACCACCTTCCGTAGGACACTAAGCCCTTGCTTCCTTAGTCTCTCCTCTTCCCTCCCGTAGGCAACCTCCTCCCCTCCACTGACTTGTCCTAATCATGGAGTAATGTCTCCATGTTCCCATGTTAAGAAACACCCCCCTCAGCTCTGCAGTCACTGATTTCTCCTCCCCTCCGAGCCAGGCTCCGGGGAAACGCAGTCAACACACCACTCCTCTGTCCTTTGCTCCCGTTTGCTCCTCCACCCACTGCAGACTGTGGGTCAGTCTGGCCCCACCTTTCCAACCAAACATCCTTACCTGGTTACTTTTGTGAGTTTTTCCTAATATTCTTGCGGTAAATTCTTAGAGGTGGGATTTCAGGCTCATGGATAGGTACATTTTAATTGTGGTTTTACCCACTGGGATCACTCCATATATGGATGGCCATGTCCTCACCCCTTCCCCATGCTGGATAAAAATTGATAGCTTATGATTATTTTAATTTGGAAATTAAGGAGCTTGCACATCTTTGTGTTGTGTATATCGTGAGTTTCTATCTCTTGCATGAATTGCCCTGGTTCATTTTCCTATGGGTGTGTTCTTTTCTTTTGGTTTTAAGAATTCTTTGTCAATATGTTGGAAGTCATTTTCCGTAGTTTGCCTTTGGGTTGGAGTTATTTTGGTTGCGTGTTCAGTCAAACAGGAGCTTGAAGTATTTATGTAGTTGGAGTTTTCCGTCTTTTCTCTTAGACTTTGCTGAGGTGATGAAGAGCCTGGAATGAATCTGGGGAGATGGGGAAGAGGAGTCAGTAGAATCCTAACTCTGGCTCCCTCTAGCTGTGTGAGTGGGGCCAAGCTTTAACCTCCCCAAACCTGTGTCCTCGTTTATAAAACAGAGGTCACAGTCGCATCTCTCAAAGGGCATTGCCTGGCACACTCAGTAAAGGTTGTTGTTGTTAGGTGCTGTCAAGTCGATTCTAACTCATAACTTCACCAGTGAAGGAGCTTGGTTTGAACACAAGCAGTTTGAGTCCAAAGCCTGAGCTTGTAACCCGCACAGAACTCAGCCTCTCACCCACACACATGCAAAACTGTCTGTGTATGAAGACGTTCATTGTAGCCCTGCTCGTCCTAGCGAAAGATGGGCAACCTAAGAGTCATCAGTAGGATAAAGGATGAGGCATATCTGTAAGTGCTTCCTGAAAGTGACTCCTGGGATATATATTCCTAGGATATATAAGCAACGGTATGTTGCATCCTTCCATTTAAGTTACAGGAAAAAAAAAAAAAGATGTGTGCATATTTATGCTTGTGTATATGTAAAAAAATGTTAAAGAGTTTATAAGAAGCTTTATAGTTGCTTTGGGAAGAGAAATTAAAAATCTTTTAATTATGTCTCCACTGGTATTATTTGATTTTTAAAAAGCAGTGCAGAGTTACTTCTTTAAGTTAACCATATTTTAATGCATTAAGCTCCAAACACATCTCCACACGGATGTCTCACATACAGAGCCTCAAAACAAACCCAAAGCCACAATCATTGTATCTCCCTCCAAAAGTGCTTCTGGTTCTGTTTGTCCTAAGCTTTTTAAGCCCTCCCACTCACTAAGGCCCCGAGGCAGAAACCTGGGTGGCGCCCTGTACTCCCTCCCCACCACACCCCACCCCCTCTTCAAAACAGAGACCCCCTCCACCTGCTAACAGAGGCCATCTCCAGATGCTGAATAAGGGGTGAATCTGGGATTCTCGGATTTTTCTATACTGAACATGCATTTATTTGTTATTCTAAAAAAGCCAAAACTCTTATTTTTTAAAAGACTCAATTCAGTCATCTCATCTTCTTTGAGGACCCCCCAGGCAAGTTGATCTCACCGTTATTGCTGAGTATTTAAGTGCATCCTATTGAAAATGTTCCTTCACTCTGTTGCCCTTACTAAATTGAGGAGAGGGGCTGTCTTACTCACTTTGGTGTTCCCAGCACTTGCACCACTTGTAGATGCTGAGGAAATGTTGGTTAAGTGGAATTGTTGGCGTTATTGGTCCATGCAAAGGTTTAACTGGACTTCTAGTCCCTGAATTAACCATCCCTTCTGCAACCTCATGGTCTAGCATGCCAGACCTGTCATTCCCTCAATACAGTGTCTGCTATGTACCATGCTAGGTCCTGAAGACACAGAGCTGAAGCAGATATGTCATCTTGGAGTTTCTTGAATTAGCACAAGAGTGGTCAAGGTCTTCTCTGGGGACCTGGGGGCCGGGCGCTGCAGCATAAAGCAGGTTCCTCTTATGTCCCGTTGTGTGGCCCACAGGTTTGAGAAGGTGAAGAAGAACACGATGAGAGATCAAGAGCACTGGGCCCGGCTTCAGAAGTACTCCTTGATTCTCCAAAGAGAGGGCTTTATGAAGTGACACGGCCACCACCCCGGCGCCCTCTGAGAAGGCTTCTGCCACCCAGCAGCTGTTCCTCAGGACATCCTGAGTAGAAAGCACTTGGTGACAAGGGGTCTGGACTTGCAGTCTGGGACCATTGCAAAGCCTGCAGGGAGAAAGGCACTATCTTGGGGGCCTTCGGCCACTAAGCCTCTTGTCAGAGCCCTCAGGTGGGCAGGATGTGTTTCCCAAATAAACAGTGGTATTGTTTCCAGAAGCTAAAGTTTCTGTGGTTTATGACTCATTGTTCGTACCCAATCCAGACCCCAGCAGGGCCCAGCCAATGATTCCAATGAGAGTCCCAGGTTTTCTGAGGGTTGCTCAACTCCTAGGCCCAGGAGACTCTTTTGTCAAATGAGCAAGATGCCCAATACGGCCCGGATAGTATGTGGCCCTCTTTTCTCTCCACCCACTTTATTCCCCTGCCTATGCTGGTTCATAACTTTTTCAGAATTGTTTTGAAGCGTCGGAGGTTCTGAGGGGGTGAATAACTGGCTGCCTGTGGCCACACAGGTGTGAGAGGCAGAGCAGGGCGAGGCAGCGAGGCAGGAACTGTGCTGCTCTGCCCACTGCCTGCTGGCTCGAGAACCCTAGAGGAGCCTGGGGGCTAGGGGCACGTGAGAAGGCAGAGGGGCACCTTCTTCTTCTCTAGAAACTACCCTTCCTGAGAGACATGGATGGAGGGATCCCCAGCAGCTCAAGGGATACATCTGCCTCTCTGGGGACACCATGTGATCCCTTTGAGAACAGCAAATGGCTAGCCATGTCCCAGCCTTGTCCTAGGCAGAAGCAGCCCAGAAAGCCGTCTGCAGGCAGGGTTTGTGACAGCTGCTTCTTTTTGCCCCCACCCACCTCTGCCCCTGGGGCACACACCATGCCCCTCCTTGGCATGTTACCTCCCTCATGGAACTGGCACTGACTGGCTGAATGTCCCCTGACAGAAGGCGTCTCCACCCAAGAAACTCTGCCCTCTTTCTTCCCATGGGAGTGAAGACACAGCGCCAGAAAAAACTTTTACAAGAATTCCTTTCTCTGGGCCAGACTAGACTCTACATGGAGTGAAGACACAGCGTCAGAAAAAACTTTTACAAGAATTCCTTTCTCTGGGCCAGACTAGACTCTACATAAGCAGGTACTGTGGCAGCTGTCTTTAGACATGAGGGAGGAAATCTTAGAAAGATGTTCTTGGCCTTACACATCACCTGAAGGTGATGGAGTAACCATTTACGGGATGTCTACGGGGGTTTGTGTGTTTTACATTTAAGCCTTAAGTAATCTCATGAAGTGTAGATACTATCATTATTCCCATTTTACAGATAGGGGGTTACAGAGATTAGAACAGCCTGTATCAAGTCCATGTGGACTTTTTCAACAGCAAGTGTTGGAAACCCAACTCTAGCTTTAGCAAAAGGGGGATTTGTTGGCTCATATAACTTAACCATCCTAGAGTAATGTTTTTGGTGTACCAGATGCAGGTGTTGAAATAACATCAGGAATCCCCCTCCATCTCTCAGTTCTGAGTCCCTTTCAGGTCGGCCCTCTGCTTGGGTGGCAAAATGACACCAGCAATAGCCAGAGCAGCTTCCTTTTCTCAGTGGTTCCAGCCAACATCCTGTGTAAGGGAATTTTAAAATTTGAGAAGATCTGAAGTGACCAGCTTGAGGTTTGAGTGCGACTCCTTTGTGGCTAGTTCCGTTTCCACCCTAGCAGTGGAAACAGTCACTTTCCATGCAGACATAATCATGAAACTAAGAAATGTCTGGTAATGATGATGTAACTACCCTGCGACCCTCTCCCCACATCACATACCCTTATGATTACCACATTATAACCAAACTAAGAAAGACACTTATATCCTTTTAAGTCAATCAATGAGCTTCCGCTATAAGAAGCCCTGCCTTACGAGTTCCTGCCATAATAAGTCCCGCCCTAAAATGATCTACTACCAATAGACTAATGTCTTTCAATGATCTAAGCCGGTAATTACCAATCAAGTGATGGCTTTCAATGATCTGAGTTCGTACTTACGAATCAAGTGCTGCACTTCATGTCCTTTGTTTCCCCTTATAAAATGTTACTGCTGAGACACCATCTTGGATTACTGGATTCTACCGCATGGCGTTCAGTCTATCTCCAGCTCGAGCTGTCTCTTTACTTTCAATAAATCTCTCAATTTTACATTAATCAGAGTATGGATAGTTACTATATGGCATTAAATGGCATAGTCAGCAGGATTCTGAAGGAATATTACCAACAGCATCCCCAAGAAGTCACAGAACTGGCTCACCCTGGTACCAGCAAGGGTCCTTTGTGCCTGGAACCATCTCCTCGAATTCTTGGGGCCTGCTGGAGGTAAGCCTCTCAGATCAAAGCCCTGCTTATTGCGAAGATGGCTGTTTGAGAGATTTATTGTCTATTCGCTATACCTTCCTTCATTTTCTGCTCATCTCCTGAGCATCTCACTGGGTTCATTATTGAACACTTTTTTTCTGGTGCACCATAAGGTTTTCACACACATTTAGGTCTTTAATACTTGCAAATTTCTCAGGAAGATTGGGAATGCCACTTCTAAGACTGGGGCAGGACCCCCTAACGTGACTCCTGCAGCTCCTTCTGGCCCTGGTTCAGTCTTCTATTCAGTCTGATGGCACACACTTGCTAAGTGAAATTCAAAAGACCAATGGCCATTGTAGGGGTCATTTAATTTAACTAAATTAATCTGTGCAGCAAATTAGATGCTAAGGGCTCCTGTATCAAAACTAATGGGAGGCATTTTTTTTAGTGCTTGGAGGCTTCCAAAAGAAATCAAAATATTAAATTCGCCTCTTTACAGGAGACCATTTCAAAACAAGCTAAACAAATTAGAAGTTACTGTGTCAAAGCTCTGTACCCTTGCCGGCTACCTACCTGGCAATAGCCCCTATACCCTCTCTTTCCCAAAATGGTGGAGTGCTTGGCATCTATAATCCACCTGTGGCCTCAGACGCCCAGCTTCCTTCCCTTCTCTCCACCCCTCTGGCTGCCACTCCTCTTTATACACTTTTACCATCCTACCCTCCCTAAAATATCTTATGTGAACTCTCATACTACCCTAAAGAACCTTTAGAAGAAGAAAAACACATTTCTGAAATGCCTCTTAAAATTAAATTTCCAGAGGAGGCTGAGGAACCTCCTCATGTTACATTTACCCCATGGTCTAAAGTGGAACTTCACGCCATTGTAAAGAAGTTTCCAATCCATGCGAAAATCCCCACAAGTTAACCCACGAATTAAAAATTTTAGCTGAAACTTATAAACCTGGCCTGGAAGACTTATATAATTTAATAAATATGTTAATCAGATGAAGCAAATGCATGCTCCCTTTGTCCTGCCTCCCAACCAGCCTACTAATTAAACCAAGAGAGAGCACCCCGGAGAGAATGCACTTCAGCAGCTTGTATGTGCTCTGAGTGGAAACTGCTGCCACAGGAGTGGCTTTCAGCAGGCAGAGGGAAGGAGACAGTAGGAAGGCTGTGTGCTGGCTGCTTCTCTCCGCCCCTGTCTCAGTCCTGGAGGGGCTGGATAGGCAAGTTAAGCATGATGGCTTAAGCTCCAGCAGCAATGGTGGCTGTAGGCAATAGCACCTCCTCCTCCTGGCGCTGGCTGTGGCAGCTGCACAACCCGGATGAAACTATTCACAAGCTGGCTGTGCCTTAGCCTGGTGCCTGTGTGACTGGCGCAGCAAATGTAGACAGTGCAGAGTCCACTCACCCACTCCCTGTACTGTAAACATAACAAGTGGCCTAGGCAGGTTGGCAGTGGCTGTAGGTGGCAAGAAAAAAAAAAAAAAAAAACACCAGGTATAGGGCCCAGGCCAGGACAAGAATCAGAGCAGGGCCATGGCAGCCTGGTCTTCCCGTGCTCAATCTGGCTATTGTGCCAAGTGGTGTGGTGAGAGGGAAGCCAGACCCTTGCCCTGCCACTCTGGTTGTTGGAAAATTTTCCCCACAACCCCTGGGCATCTAGCTCTAGCCCCACGGTGACTTTTGTTGCCCAGCGCCAGCAGAGAATGGCTTCCCCTCCCCACTTCCTGGGGCCGGATTGTGGCTGCCCAGGAGCCCTGCATTGTTTCCAGGCCCCCAGCAGTAGTTGCAGATGCTCAACCCACTTGGAGTCTGCTCCTGGCATCAGAATGCAAAGAACTTTAGGGCTGATGCGTGGTGAAAGACACCTATCTAATACTGAGGTCTGGGATTTAAAGGAATAAACCAAACTCACTGTCCCAGACAGCCTTTATAACACTTGAGCAACAAAATGAAAAGCTGGTCCCTTTTTTTGTCTAATTGAATCTCTGAATGTACAAAGGGTCTACATTGTTACAATAAGTTAATAATTTACCAGGCTGTTCTAACTCTCAACAGGCATGTCCTACCAATAAACCAAACCAAACCCATTACCATCGAGTAGATTCCAACTCATAGTGACCCTGCAGGACCGAGTAGAACTGCCTCATAGGGTTTCCAAGGAGTGCCTGGTGGATTCGAACTGCTGACCTTTTGGTTAGCAGCCGTAGCTCTTAACCACTACACCACCAAAATTTCTGTTCTGCCAGGAATGTCCTGTTTTTACAACATTTGGACAAAGAAGATCATGAGGCCTCCAAAGAAAAATTAGTTAGCCCAATCTTCTGTTAAGTACTTGAGACATATAATCTCAGCAAAGGGAGTCACTGTAAACATCAAAATAAAAAAGAGGCTATCTTAGCATACCCTGTCCCTACTACAAAAAAAATAAAAACGATTTTTAGAATTCTGTGGTTACTACAGAACTTGGATATTAAATTTTTCTTTACTAGCTCAACCTTTTTACTATTAAGAGTTTAAAGCCTTACCCCCTTTCAACTATCCAAAGATGGCCAAAAGGCCATCACTCAACTAAAAGAAGCATTAATTAACACTCGTATTCTAGTAAGGATGGGGCCCTGGTGGTGCAGTGGTTAA